ACAAAAGCATGTGCATCACACTCAACACTCAATGACATGCTGACTTTTGATTCTGACTACTTGAATGCGGTCCATAAATCTTTCAGTGCTGCGGGCTGTTTGAACTTTGAATGCTACCCAACTCACATTTCATGGCCTGAACAAAACACCCCATCGTGGAAATGTGTCTTGTGAATAGTANAAAGATAATTGGGAAAAGGGTTATAGAAGACAGTTCCGAACCCATGGTGGCTCCTTTCCTTAATAATTAGTGGGCCATATGGGGCACGTTGTCACCTACGAGTCTTCATACCTATACCGCCGCTTTATTTGTTCCAGAGATATTCGAACAAAAGCATGTGCATCACACTCAACACTCAATGACATGCTGACTTTTGATTCTGACTACTTGAATACGGTCCATAAATCTTTCAGTGCTGCGGGCTGTTTGAACTTTGGAATGCTACCCAACTCACATTTCATAGCCTGAACAAAACACCCCATCGTGGAAATGTGTCTTGTGAATAGTATAATGGGAACAGCGGCAACTGAGAGTATGAAAGAGAATTTTTAGTATATTGCTATAACAAGTAATGCGGCTTACCAAAGATCGAAGCCTTGGACAGTTGCGGCGACAAAGTAACAGTACTAATCGACCGTACTCCGTACGCTGTTCCACAATAGCAGTTGTGCGCAGAAACGCTTTATCGGTAGCATCTGGAACCACAGGATCAGAATTTGATTAAATCACTCAAAGTATCTCTAAACAAAACTAAATGAATTAGAGCTGCCAAGTCATAATATTATTAACCGGAAAAAGTTAAAGTGAAGTAAAGTACATTAATGCCACTTCATTTTCGATCTCAAGAGACAGTGTAAGGTCAAAAATTCAGAAGGTTGCTAACACCTTTAAGTGGGACTACAGACCCCTACATCTTTTATCAGACTAGAAATTCATGAAAAAAAGCAATCTTCAACAAATAAATCGATCGCAATCTGACCAGAAATATAAAATACGCAATATCTCATGAAAACGTTTCAATAAATGCAGCAAAATGTTTATTGTGGGTGGCGGGGAATGGTAAGACGCCGTTGTTTTCGTCAGTACCGGCGTGGATATTGATCACTATTGATTGGTATTGGGACTTAATGAACGTACTGATAGAAGTTCTGAAGTACTACTACGACTTCGCTCCCTGACGCAGTCCGTGGTCCTACCAGCAGACGTACTCCAGCGTAAAGAGCCAAGCTCGTCCAAGAGTGGTGTCGGCGCCCGACTTTATAAGCATGGAGAAATGGCTACCGGGGGGCGCGCTATTCACGCGTGACCCCATTAGAACTCTTCGCGCACGCAGCATCGTTTCAGTACCTTTCTGTTTAGATGGACCAAATAAATTTGCATTAGTCCACGGTTTCGCAATGAATAGAGCAAATCTCTCTACTATTGCAAAAAAGCCCCTTCGAGATTGTGAATTCACCTCGTAGGTCAACAATTTTCTTGTGAAACGCTCAAAATACGAACAACTTCAAAATTTTTGATACTAGTAAACGCAATCCTTCTGTAAACGTGCGTAGTTGGTCATTTCGTTACTTACTGTACCTATATGTTCTTATTTCTTCCGTTATGATGGTAGGAATGATGTTCTAGCGCGTTTTGTCTGATGACCTCATTATATTGACGCGTGAATCGCACCACACCCATGGCTACCCTGCTCCCTAAATCCTAACCCACATGGCTTCCCCGTATGGTCCCTGATTAGAAGAAGACACGCCGGGTTCGCAATCCTATTTTCATGTCGTTGAAAGCAAGACTCAAGTACGACTGCGAGGAAATGGAGAATGAACACCTAAGTGCAACATCCAAGGGGTTTAAGGACAGATTTTGGACCTCTATCCGTGCTAATGGGGATATTTTAAAATGTGAATGCAGCTTGTTGTTGCACATGATGTAAGCGATCTTCCACATAAATTTCATTGTCATTCGCAGCTCAGAGGCTTCAAAACTATTGCCGTGAGTAGCTCCCACAAATTTGGGTTACCTTGCACACGTATTCATTTCTTCTGATACGTCAAAACAGCCATGACGGAGCCAGTAATGAGAACGATAACTCCCGATACATCATATCATATGATCTTCATTCACAATTAGAATGTTAGTTTAGTACCCGCTAACAGTGATCAGCGCAACAAGTTTTTTTTTNTTTTTTTTTTCGAAATTGAAAAGCTAGATCAGAAAAATTTGCTATACAAAGTATATCAGTCATAAAAGAGTGTCCGAACACGATACAAACCTTCTTATAGTGGAAAAATTATCAAAGGCACAGATCACGACAATTCTGGGGCATGTAGTTTTAGATGAATTATGGAAAAGTATAGACCAGACTAGTGCAAAAAAGGTCAAGAAAGCGCAAAAATCGTCGTGTTTGAAGAAGTGTCAGGCTTCAACAAAGAAATGAAATTGTTGGTTGTACTAGGATGTGACGACTGAACTCGCATGGGAGGGGTATTTGGACGAGTTGTTCAAATGTGCGCGCCATTGCATGCAGCTGGCTGCAGTAAGCTGCCTGCGCGCAACTTGTGGGTCACGGTGCAAATGGTGCAACCTCTACAGCTTTTACAATGTTTAAGAATCGTCCGCCTCGGGTGTGTACAGCGGCTATGCCGGTTCTGGGGCTCCTATTATGCCCTATTCTGTGCGTTTTTTGATCCGACAGCGTCCTTCAGGCTATGCTTAGTGGTCACAGGTACATCCGAGGGAGAAAGCTCAGAAACCATTTCTGACGTGAACTGTACCTTTGAAAAGGTTAGTAGTTTTGCAACTCGGACAAGAAAGACGACATCGTCGGATTCACTTGACAAAGTATTAAAAAGGAGCTGAAAGGCGCGGACAACACAGCATGACAAGTCTTCCTCACCTGAGACTTGTTCTGAGGAAGAACTTCTTGGATATAGTGATTTTGCAACAGTAATGACAACCAATAGGCTAATCCTCAATATCATCCAGGGAGTATTCTCACCTAAAAATATCGCAAGCATTAAATTCATTTTATTACCAAAATGAAATTAAATCAATGAGATGTGCCTTAAAAAGTTCAAAATCAATAAAACCAAGTCAAGGAGATTTAGACCAGTGGAAACATAAAACAAGGCCATTGGCAAATGTTTCTGATGGGAGGAGCAACAAGAAATGAACTGAGTCGAATTCGAATCATACGAAAAGAGAGCAAGCGTGTGCTGCGAGAATTACACTTCATCGACCCAACATATGCCGCCACGGAGTTTTTCAAAAACTGACCTTCCACATACCTTCATCTACTTTGCAAAGACTACTTGGTGGAAATCATAGCAATTTCAGTAGTGCGTCTCATTATTTATATGCATTCGAACTAGAAAATTTGTGTTGAAGCTCCGCGTTCCTTAGCGAACTTCCTTGCTTCGATCTGAAGGAGTCGTCTTGCATGGATGCCTGAAAATTTTGAAAACAATAACATCCTATAGAAGGTAAAATGTTTTCTAAAATCGTTCCAGACTCACTAACAACTGGGAAGGAGCCCCCTTCGATCAAGTGGTGATTTCACTTTGTAAATAGTATACATTGTCACATAACCCTTCCCATTCTTTATCACATCGAATTTTTCTCCCGCGATATCATGGATTGTCAGATCACACACTGAATTATCCAAAAGGTTATTGTTTGGCCCTGCGAGTGGTTATGTTTCAGCTTCGACTGCGGACCTGCGAACTGTAAGGCCGATTCGCAAATTGACCTAGACCGGCAACTCATTTAATCCAAACTCTTTATTACAGTAGTTCAGTTCAACCACCGACATATGGTTTTCTCAGTCACTAACTCTCCTAACTACACTGTGCTGTTGTTCAGTGCCTGTCGGCTTTCCTGGGAATAGGCTTTTCGAGTTTGTGAGCTGCTCAGCGAGCCATGGCAGAAGACTCGGAGGGTTAAGGAGCTGTTGTCAACCAAAATTTCTCTCGCTATTAGAATCAGAGACGGAAAGAGGGCGTGTCCCCTCGTTGTCCGTACATTCGTTCAGAGTGCTCTCTTTTCAAGAAGGGACATGTGAACAGGTTCAAGGGTAAAAGGTGACCCAGAAAGTGAAGCCTTTAGCCAACTATGAAGACATACTTTGAACTGATAAACGGAGAGAAAAAGTCTGGACAATGATGGTTGTTTTGTAAATCGATAGGTGTCGCTACTGGTTGATCAGATCAAGTACTCCGAAAAAAGTAAAGGCTTGATCCTCGCCTCGATACCAATGATAAAGTTCGCAAAATCTTCAAATTGACGAATCTTGGTAGTAATGTAGGCCGCTAATCACTACTTATTCTTTATGTGAGTGAACACTGAGATTAACGAGTTTGTTTGAAGAACAGCAGCAGCAATGATTCGATCTAAACTCAACATTTTGTAGTTTTCGCTATGTATCTCATTGTGTAAATTATAGTTTTACGCATTGATAGACGGCGACCTTTATCGTATGCACTCCTTCTTCTTGAACATAGGATAACTATCAAAGAAGACGCAGAGGAAACTCCAACAGTGATTGACGACGGCCCCATTACCGACCGAAGGCCTCTACCACAACGGCACCTAAAATTTTGCAGAAGGCGAGGAAAGAAACTTCAGTGAAGACGTAGATTTCGCCATCAACAATTCTGTCGGGTATTAAAATATAAATTTTTAAATAATGCCGTCATTATTGATGACTGGAGGCCCTAGCACGTAGGTCTGTAATTCGATCTAAATTTCACAAAAAATGAAACACCACTTTTTCTCAGGTTGTAGAAGCTTCATAACATATAATGTGGTGCCAAAATGCAGAGCAATGAAGGAAAGACTGATATTCAAAAGTCATATTGGGTTCAAATCTTGCGAACTGGGTTATTGTCCAACCCATCATTGAAATGTCCAGAAGAGATCACCACTAAAAACAGGTTCATCACAAAATGGTTTATCGTGATCGAAACATGAAAATTAAATTAGTTTGCGGTCCCACTAGTTTTAATTGATTCGATTTCTAAAAACACATCATCGGAATTCGAGACAAATTATATGAATTATTCGTCGGCAACGTATTCCAGTTCATTACATTCTAAGCGACAACCCACAGTTAAACAGATCCCTACCGGGTCTTGATGTTGACCTTACACGGAAAGAGCCAAACCATGTTGTTCGATACCCCATAAGAAATACTAATGAATAAATCATGGGTCATCTATCGATTTTTCTCCATTTTCTTTTTTACTCTTCACCACACGTTTCTCAACCCCTCAGCGGTAATGTCCACGCAATTTACGAATTAAATAGCTCATCGCGCTGGCAGCTAGTGGTGCTAGCAGTCGCGAAAGCACTGGCTTTTAGCCAGTGGAACTGGCGTTTTGCCAGATAGTAAGCTTTCTCTCCTTTCTCACCCTGCGCCGTGCGTCCATAGCGTGTATTGCTCGTGGCGTCCAATAAGCTGTAAAACTCGACTTGCCCTAGAAACCTCGCCATAACGGTGGTGTCTCATTACGGCAGATCTTTCCACAACGAGCACATAGAATTCGCCAAAGAGAAAGGGACAAGGAAGTGGGAACGAAGAAATTGTCGGGATTGTATGAGACTCACGTCAATTGGCTGCTGCACTACCCTCTTAACATCGCGGCCAAAAAGAACTTGAATGAAAAAGTTGGCAAGGAGGTGGAGAAATTCAGCAATCGCCATTTTGAGCAATTCCCTACGGGCTCGGAAAGAGTCATTTGTCTAGAAATTGCACCTAGTAAACTATCGCCGAATGAAAGTAAAAATACTAGTAAAGCAACAAAAAAAGCAATTTCCGAGGGAACAGAAGGAGTGCTTTCCAGCACGAATAAGGCGGCACAAGCTACAGAGAAGAACCAAATGAATAAAGCATTTTCTTGAAATGACGAATAGGAAGCAAAGAAAAAGTGAACGAAGCAGCTTGAAAAAAATCTGGTTAATTACCACAAACAAGAAATAAGAGAACACAATTCAGAACACATAAATGGAGAGGAAAACGATAAAATGAAAACAAAAGAGAAGGAACTTGTGATCACTAATTACACTCTAGCATTCAAAGAGCCAGTAAATGTGGAAGATCGCGCCAACACTAAATATAATTACTGGCGCAAGTGTTCGTGCTAGGACCAAGTTGATCAATGATAGACTGCCTATCCACCAATTGTTGTTGGATAACCGTGATTCTCTCTAACAATTAAGTTCCACATTTGGTTGAGACATTTCTGACACTAGACAAAAAATTTCAATTTGGAACATTTACCCGTGTTTTTCAAATTTTATGGACATATATCATCAACCTTACGGCGTGCAATGTGGAATTGCTGAGGCTCCTATTCCTATTACTTCACTTAACCAAATTGAAAGGTATAACGTTCGATTACGAGTAAGAAATGTTATCAGATGATACATGGACCACCCCTCGATAGAAGCTTTGTGCTCTTGCCGTTTCCAACTTTTTGCTTTAACAGCCGGTAGTTCGATTCTTATGCAGCAATTCAAGCGATTCGCGTTATTGGGGCTCAGCACGAGACGAAAAAGAAGAGGAGCCATTAATTTGGCAAACTGCCAGATCGGTTGGATGGATAATCGTGCTTCTCCCGTTGGCGGTTCCGAGGGCTGCCAGTGCGGTAGGCTATTTCGAAGCCTGCGCGGAGACGTAAAAGGGATGCTGCCGTGGTGTAATCAGAAATTTCCATCGATTCTATGGCTGTCATCTCACCAGGGAAGGATCTTAAGTAGAAGTGGCCATTTGAAATAAGATCCATACTAATAGACGTGTTTTTAAAGGCTGACTTAGAATCTGCTTTCTAAATTTGCCGAGCGATTCTGTGAATGGAGTTTTGAGGGTGGTTCCAAATGAGACTTCACTTAAGAGAACATAACTAAAAAATAAACTAAAATAGAAACTAATTGGAAAGGGAGGTTGATTCGTTTAGCGCGCGCGACTTCAATTGAAGACCACACTTCGATTGGGAGTTTGATCTGCCGGAGAATTGATCAACCGTACGCAATATCACTCAATTAATCACTACTCGTATGAATTTGATGGAACACAATGAGACAGAGACAGATTCTGAAGATGACAAATAATGAACTTGCATGGAAAACACACTGTATATTTTCACAAACTTTTTTCCATAAAAATGATGCCTGAACACGTATTCAAAGACTTTTCGAAAACTCTATAATTCATACAAAAACCGGTTAGCAGAAGTACAAATACAGATATTGAGTATGGCTCTTCCGCTCCTGCGGATCGGTCAGCATCGGGGATCTGGATCGTTTACCTATCATAAGGTAATTAAGAAGGATAATGAATTGTATCGAATGATCTTCTCTTAGTTCGCCAACAAATTTCTCTATAAACTATGACAGAATAAAGTGTAACACGTTAGGTAAGTTATCTTCATTTAAGATATAAACATAACACGAAATAAAGCTCTGTAAGTCCTTTGCTAGTTGCCACATAGAGGGGTTTTCCTGAAAAACATCGTATATCATAACTTCAATGGGAATAAAAAAGGAAAAGGAAATACCAATCTTAATACGGAAGATCACTTACGCGCATGAGAGTCCTTGGACAAAGTTCACCCCATTCGACATCAGATCGTCCACATTCTTTGCTTGATACAGGCATCTCTCGCTCACCAGTGAAAGAAGTTTGTCACTTGGTGTCTGAAAAATTAAAAATATAAAATTATTGAAATCTAAAGATATGGGGCACACATGTGTAGACATTGAGAGTATTGTGAGCTCCATATGGGTGAATTGTCTGCTCACAGGGCGGACCAACTAGAGCTCAGAAATTGAAGGTTCCATGACAATTCCTACAGCCTCCACTACTCCCAACCCATGCTGGATACCCGAGAAACTGCTTTTACCAGAATGACCTAGGCTGTAAAATGAAATCCGGCAAACTGCAGTGTTTTTGAGTATTTGATAGTTCCCAGCTCTACGGACTGTACTATATAGTACTTTAATATCTTTAGAACGTAATATAGTACTGCGCACTTTCTGTTCGGACAATATTTCGTCTCAGCCTTATAAGGTGAACCGGGAATTCCAGGAACCCAGTCAGTGCTCTGCAATAATTTTGTGAACAACTTTGTTACCTGATAGCGTTTTCTCTACTTTCTAGCCCTAAACATCAGCACGGGGCACACTCTGAGGATTTCACCACCACTAATTCCTTTACCAAACGAACTTGTACGACTGAAATGTATACCGTTCGATACCCTAGTAGAAATAACATAGACCCCCCTCGATGAAAGCTTTGTGCTCTTCCCGTCTCCAGCTTTTTACCTCATCAGCCGATACTTCGATTCTTAAGAGGCTGGAGCAATTCGCGCGATTGGCGCTCAGTACAGGACGAGAAAGGATAGCAGCCATTCGCCTGGCAAAATGCCAGATTGATTGGTTAGTTGTCCTTCCTCGATTCCCAGTGCCGAGGGTCATGGTGCAGTGGGTTCTTTCGTAATCGGCTCGGATACGTGAAATGCACGGTTAGCCAGTGGTTTTGGCATTTAGCCAAGCAAATGGCTCGTCCCTTTCTCGCCTTGTGCTTCGCGTGAATCCAGAGACTCGCCGCTGCTGTGTTGAGGATTTGGAAGATCGGCCGGTGAAACAAAAAGTTAAAAATGGAAAGAAAACAGTTTTCACCGAGTAGTGATCAATGTATCAATGAATAGCTGTTCTTATGCAGAACATAACAGTATAATTTGTGAAGGAGTAGTTTTGTTAAGAGATAAGGTGGTGAAATCATAAGGGCACGCCACGTTCTAGTATGCAGGTACAGGATATGGTACTAGAAAATCAAGTCAACCATGAAATCTTTGCAGAGCCTAACTGTAGACCGGAACTGCTCATAGTTTGCCGTCTTCTCAGACTAAGAAGAGATAGCCTTCCGAACCTGAGAGTATAACTCGAATCGGGGTCTCCTAGAACGGAGCTTTTACATGATTTGGAATTATCCTGTAGAGCCTGAAGAGATGATCCAACGATTAATTCATTCGTTCAAGAAGAGTTTCTAGAAAAGGAATGTATAGTTGAGCTCATCTCTTTGAGCTCTACGAGGTAGTGCTGCTTTCACCCCAATAAATCTTCCACCCTTTGTTCCCTACCGCAACAGATTATACGGGTGAAGTGCATAATATTATACACTCCACACTGAATGCTATCCAATGGTATATAGATATTTCTTGGGGAAAAATCCAAATTGGATCTATTTTTACTCCTCAATGGGCCAGAGCACCGGCGGCGATCTGCATCGGAATCCTATCCTGTCAAACGTTCTCTTAAAATCTGGCGTTTTGCTAACTGCTCTGCAGAAATTTGATGAACGATTTCATTGAATGTTAGCCGCTCCTCTCTTTCTGACCGGAAACTTGTACATACACAGATATATTCTTCGATTTCCCGCAAGAAATGCTATTATCGATTGATGGATGAATACCTCTTGATTCACCTTCCGTTTCTAACGTTCTGTTTCACCGGCAGATCTTCCAAATCCGACGTCTCGAACGATTGGCGCGCAACGGGACGAGAAAGGGAGAGCCTACTGCTTGGCAAAATGCCAGAACCACCGGCTAACCATGCTTTCATGATTTCTCCGCCAGTGCTGCAATGGACTGCTCTGCCATCTGCGCAGGTACGTGGAATGCAGGAAGGGGAACAAAGTTCTCCCCGATCAGTGACATATATCATTCATTAGCATTCTTTCCGAGAAATCGAACAGTCAACCTCGCAGCAGTGTAACTTGGTTTGGTAAGGAAGTAAAAGGTAGTCAATTCACCAAGGGATGCTGAGTACAGATTTAAGGGTCGCAGATTTATGGCTTGTAACCAAATTTACCACAAAATTCCAAATATAAAATCTGAAGTTAGTCCTGGACCCTTCTTTCGATATCTTCTGAAACTAATCCCGTTAAATATGCAAAGTCAAAATAATGGGTATTCCTCAAAAGCAGCTTTTCAGAAGAGCCGGAGCTTTTTCGTATACCAACTATCAAAAAAGCCAGCTTTGAAACAACTTATGTACGTTAAAACGGAGAAAAACGCAAGCTTGCGTTACTATCATTAATTGAATACTCTTCACGGTAAACGCTGAGCATATGATTTGGAAAATTCTTTAAGTTTACACAAAATTTCTGCCCCTACTCGGTAGGTGTTCAGATAGGTGCAACAGTTTTGTTCGTAGTGTGCTTACAGCTAATCAGTGAATTCAAAAACTATTGTGATTCGCTAGTTGTAAACAACTGGCGTTTAATTTGTGAATTGCGCGTGCGGTCGAAATGGCTGTCAATCGTGCTTTTAACGCTGCGCGTAGCAATGGTCAGTACGGGAATTACGAAACATGACGATGCTCGAAGACTAGTGGAAGAGAGCCGAATGACCCGTTCAATTCATCTCCAGTAATGTTTCCGATCTCGCTACACCGATGCCTCGTGAACTGGCTCTTTTTCATTACTCTCACGAGTAGTTCCCACTTACTGGAGCAGGTCAGACTTTAGTGAGAAACTTGGTTGATTTTCAGAGAAATGCTAGCACTCACGGAATTCACTGTGACAATCGCTACTTGGTACAGCCCTTGTCTTCGAAGTGAGTACAACAAACCAGCTGGATCATCATCTGTCGGGCTGCAATGTAAGGATAGAACACTTCGATTGCTTAACTTATCGTGAACATAAGCTACTACGAAGATAAACTTTTCAATGATTAATTTCAAACGAACTTGCTGTAAGTGACGTATACCATTAGATGGCGTGCCGATGAGCGATAGCCTTGATTAGCGCTTCCGTAAGAGTTTATTGTGAGTTGCATAGCACTAAAATGCTCGTGATGACCGAAAATTCAGAACAGCTCACCTTACAAGTTTTGCATGCCAACCTTGTCACATTTTGTCCTGGTCGGCCCAGATACGTGAGGTTCAAGAGAAGCATTTGAATGTTATCAAAGGAGTTTTCAGGTGCATTATACGAGAAACCGCCCTGGGCGGTGTCAGCCAGGGTCATGGCAGCTACCTGAAAGACTCTTCTTTGGAAATGAAGCACGTGCATATTACAGATATGTGAGTGGGGCCCCTGTGCCCAGCTCATTCCTTAGAGGCACTATTCACGATAATGTTGAGGTACCCTACTTAAGTTGAAAAACGGAAATGTTCATAGAGAAAATAGCATCGGTGGGAAAAAAGCGAGCAAGCCCACAGAGTTCTGTGATATCTAAGGACTCTCAAAGGTATCGAAACTAGGGGGTTGTACAGATCAACGTGACAGAGTGCTATGGGGGGAGCATTTGGGAAAGATTCCAGTCGTTGCAATTGCATGAACTGCTGATTACAGTGAGCCGAAATGCTCCAAACTGCCCTCTGCTGTCGCCAATCGTTACAGCTAGTTATTTGTGTCTCTAGCATCTGCGCTGCATTGCGAATGGTGCAGTCTCTGTAAGGCCGAAAAACACGTCCACTTTTGAGTGTCGACTTCGGCGTAGCTGATCTTTGAGCCCTCGTCCCACGCTGTCAAGGCATTTCTATAACCCGACAGCGTCTCCTTTCCTATCTTTGGGNGGGTTCATAGTTTCATCTTGGGACTGGCGGTTTGAGACAAGCTCAGCTCAAATCTCCAATCGTGAGAAGTGCGCTCGCATAGGCTGGCCCCGCCCCCAATCTGTAAACCGCCTGCGTAGGCATTTTCTTCAAATTCTGGAGTAATTATAATGAAAAGGTTTCTCAACGTACTTGCGCGTAGTCAGTAGAGAACCTGAATGGTAACTGTGTCTTGACAGCGAAGTCGCGTACCTGAATTCCATTCAAATGCAACATGTGAAGATTTCATCAAAACTCTACTTACGCTCTTGAAAACGCTTTCAGAATCCGCATTCTGTTTAGAAGAATCAAGAATGAACAGCATGTCTTGGGTAACCCCACTCAAATCACAAGTAGGTACGGGAGCTGAATAGCTAATTTTTGTTTCGAAGATGCGATATTCAATGTGAAGAAAGTCGATGACATACGGATAGGTGGTGGACGAGTTGATACACAGTTCGTGAGGTATTTCCGACGGAACGTAGCTCCTTGTGAGTCTATACCGTAGATGATGATAATGTACTGCTGAAAAGATCTCATTTTCAATGAATCTCTGAAGATTTCATGGAAAACTACCGGACTAATCAATACAAGTTGTATATGTAACTGTCAATACAAAAGAAGGTGATGTGATCAAGGAAAACACCAAACTGCTGAGGTGGCTCGTTGGAGGAACACGCTTATCCGAGATGGTTCTTACTCTTACTCTTCCCAGGGACGATTATCGATTTTTGGGTTGGGTATAACAACAATTTAGTACAGTGGAGCTTCACTAAAACATTTTCCGGTAGCTGCCTGGTCGTTAGGAATAGGGTATTGAAGAAATTCGAAGTCGAGCAAAGATGAATGAGTGGCTTGGTATGAAATTGAATGAGTTGATACTTATTGATTTGCTTTTCAATTCCTATTTATTTTCACATGTCAAACTCTTATATATCACTCTCGAGCCTTACCTCATAACTGCAGAAAAACGGCACAGGGGCATAATACTCGAAAGAGCATTGACTGGAATCTCGTGGGAGTAGTACTGAAGTATGTTGCAGTCCACCACCAGCAGGTGCCACAACTTGCACATAGCTAAGTGTTCCATTGACTAGCCCATCAGCATGGACCACTATCGTATTGCTTTCATCTTAACGTCATTCATTAATAAAAATCGATAGTATTGGCGTATCGGGGATCGATATTTACGTAAAGACTAGGTCGAATGGGGTAACGCACCAAGGACCGGAGCATAATGGGCGTTATCATTCGTGGCTCCTCCATAGGAGTCACTTGAGGTTCGCACATAAGCTGGATAGATCTGAAATGAATCTTCAATCCAGGGCTGCAGAGCTGCTTAGATAGAGACTATACCCACCTCTATTGCTCCTCGACCTCTGATATTCATATTGCAGAAGGAGCCACCTGCTCCAGACATGGTTAACCTGTAGGTACCAGCTCTAACAGCACCAGTATCATTGACCTGAACATCTCCTCATTTTCATCACAACAGTTTGTTTCATTATTGTAGGCATGTTTTTTCCAAGAGAAACTAGTCAATCTACACAAATTCCCTGAATGCAATGTATCGTCTCTCAATTGATAGGTAAAAATATACGATTGTAAGTCGCACTACATTGATAAATGCAGATACTACCTATGCTAGCGATGATAATGTAGTACCTGTATTATTCCAAGATAGTTAGTGTCACTAGCGATGAGATTGGGAGGTAGTGGGATATAGTCTCCTAAAGTGGGATATAATCACATTGTCGTACAGTTACGTCATCGAAACAAGTCAACGTTGTAGAGTAAACTTTAGCGACGTAAAGTAATAGTTACTTGATATTAGACACTATAGAGGCAGGGTTGGCGATAGGGGTGGTTTAGGAGATTCCGTATAGGCAGAAATCTATGGACACAGGGTAGCTTGAGGGTCGTCGGGTGAAACAGTGGCCCATATGGCAGAAATAAGGGCTCAAAAACCGGTCCCACGGCCCAGTGTTGCTCAGTACTCAGAACTAAGAAGAGAGTTTAGAGGTCATCTCTTGGGCCGTATAATATCGCCTGGTCAGAGAAGCTGATATCATTCGGGAAAAGCATGCTTGCTTCACATTAAGCCAACTGATACACGACAACAGCTAACTCCCTTGCTTTACTTCGTCTGAATTCTCGTCTGAAAATCCAGTTCATCGTCGTACGGATGCCCAACCTTAGAAAAAGTATCAAATTCGCTCAGAGCAGAGTCACTACCGAGTCCCAGGATGATTCTGGGGACACCGGCAAGTCTTGACTTGGTGGGATTAACATGTTTGCTATCATAAAGCCTATGCGAGTAAGGTGAGCATTCACAAACCTGCCGGATCCGTCAGCGTGATAAGTACTGGTGGATTGGTAATCGGATGATAGTATTCAATTGTGAATTCGTACAACGAATGCTCAACCTAAGTATACATTCTCAAGAATTCAAGGCAGAAACGAGAAATCAGTACCGCTAGGAATAAATGTTACCTGGAACAAGTATTCCTGGTAGGTGCAGTCCATGGTGGCACCGTTCTCGAGACCAGCTGATCTGTACAAGGATGGAAGATACTTTTGAAGGAAGTTCACAGCAAAATCAACTGGAGACATCTGTGGTTAATGAGCAGTCATTAATTTTTATATTTTCAGAGGATTTTCGGTATCAAAAAAATCTTACAACAAACACGTTGCCATCACTGTAACTAGTAGCTGTGTACATGGCGTTCGCTTCAGGTGTGTTCCAACCTTCAGCGCAAGGTGACGTAATTGCAGGCAAAACAAAGTTGATCTAAAATCAATAACACTCAATAGTGGCAATATTGGGCAACACTTACAGTAACTCTTACTAGAACGAACCTGAACTTTGGTATCAATAAGCGTTTGAATCATACTGTTAATCAGTGGGAAGTCTTCAGGTGATGAACGTGTTACGACGAGAACAACCGAATTCGGACTGACTAGTTCGGGCATTGCTAGAACCTTTTTCAGTGTACCCATGATCGGCCTTGGACAACCTGAAAAAACACTCATTTTGTCCATTGCAAAAGCCAGGCAACAAAAATGACTGAAAATTCGATAGATTTCAGTACGCGCTGTGGGTGACCGTAAGTTTACTCGAAAAAAGGGAATTGCATATTTTTTGTTATGAGTTTGTTCGAAATTAATTTTTTTGAAGCCGTAGATACGATAGATATGACATAGACCATCACCTCTTCAATCTTTAGAGAATAATACCTCGAAGATATGGAAAGACTTTACTGAAAACCATTGATCTATGGATGGTTCTCAAGTTGGAAGGGGTACTTGTTCTAGTATGAAAAGACAGTCATGGAATTAATAGCCGGTCCCTGGCTGTTTCCATGTTAAGCAAAGATTTCATGATTAGGGTTTCCTCTGTTGTGTAACACAAAATATTAGTATGTGCCTTTCATTTTCTTACTAAACCAAATTAAGCGGTCCCATGGCATACTGTTCGATTTCGCATAAGAAAGACTATCCAACCACATATGAATGACATCTCGATGAGATTTTTGTTTGTTCCGCTTTTTTGCCTTCTTTCTTTAACCGGCTTTTCTGTGCAGCCCTGGACGGCAGGGTGATCCTTGCCCGGACAGGGCGATAAATGGCAGGAACCGACTTCTTGGAAGATGCCAGATCTGGGACGACTGTGCTCGCTGGCCGCGCCTATGCGGGAAGCTATTCCGCAGCCTACTGGCTATTCCGACTTAGTTTCTGATAGTAAACCCCTCACACTCAAAAGAGTATCGAACAGCGAGCAGCATGATAGCATATTAAGGGGCAATCCAGTGACAAACGTTGTATTGGGAATATCAGCTAGAGGTTACCATTCATGTGTTCTGGTGGTGCACTACTTTTCAACGGGCTTCCTTCGATGGCTGATCACCAAAGCAACTCTTCTGAGTTGTTTTCATACATTTCCAGCACAACTTTTGAATGGAAACACATCCATGTGCTAATGAAAGGGCAGGTTATTTGACTTCATGCAACCTCGAATAATAAGAACTGGTAATCAATGAGTTTTGAAAGAATCATTTAAGGGGAAGCTTCAGAAAAACTTTTAACTTAAAAGTTTCAGAAAAAACTAATAAATAAGATAAGAGCCTGGAGAACTAGTTAGTAGGCGTTTGTGTCACAGATATCGTGAGATTGAAAACGATTTAAATCATACTCGGTGAACATCCATCGGGACCAGGACACGACATTGTAGTAATATTGTTCACAGCATTAACAATTGCATCAGAGCTGTCAGAAATGACAGGTGGATACCAGTAGTCTTGGTTGGCCGCTGTAAATAAGGTTTTGTAATGAGAAAGAGTCAGACAGATCTTGCTGTCGTTTTAGAAATAAGTGGAAATTATGCGACGGCTCTCTGTGATTGGTAGCAGCCCTACAGTAACCAATCACAAGCCGCTTAGCGCCTCAATATTCAGAGTACGATGTCTTCCCCGCTAGTGATGGGGGCTTTACTTGGGTCCGTTTCTAAAAATGTTTCCCAGGTTTTTGCCTCTACCAATGCCTCTTACTTAAGTGCAGCTGTTATTCGAGTTATGATAGAAAACCTACTTGAGTCAAATGGATAGAGTATGAATTTTGAAAACCATCCAGATGTTGTGGGATCATTCTGAATGCTGTCCAGAGCTGCTTTAAGGTTCTTCTTCATTTGGAATATCGTACCACCCATGTTGTACGAGGTTTCCAACATGATTACAAATGTACGTCCTAAAAAGTTACTAAATTATTGAAAGTTTTGCGAGTAGGGAAGGTAAAAAGTGTAGTATTGCACGAACCGACATCAGTGAATGTAGCATCGTACTTTTGTGTGCAGATAGCTGTAAATTACATATTATTAGGAGAACGTCATACAGCTTCCGATTTCCAATGCACAGTGAAAAAACTTTTGAATCACGATATTTTTCACTTCTAAATTATTAAATGAATCTGCAACTCGGATCAGACAATAAGCGAGACCTAAACTACCGTAAGCCAGGAAAAATAAAGTGATTCTTCGTGATTGTTTATGCCATAAAATTATTCTAGAAGTTCTATATTAAGCTCAAACATAGCTGAGATGGAACATCGAGGACAACAAACATTCTCTATATCCAGTGAACAGCATCTCAGCAAGAACTCTCGAAGACTTGGATTCTTGCGAGAACATGAATTGGTTTTTTTGTTATGACTCGGTTTGATGTCTTTTT